AGCCCCAGTGGGGGATTGACCGAAACCGGGGCAGCGGCCCCAAAGACGGTTTGCAGGGGCCGGGGGGAGCCCCAGCAACGTGCCCTGCGGCCACCCCACACCCTCCCGGGACAAGGGGGTTTAGGAGGCAGGAATGGAGGTTTGGGCAGAATTCCTGCCTGCGGGAAGCACAGGGAGGGGGCACCATTTTGTGGGTGGAAAGCTGAGCTCTGGGGTGTCACAGGATGAATTAGGGGTCTCCTGGCTCCGTTCGGCCCCAGGAGTGGTGATGGTGGGAGAGGGGACAGGTCTGGGTGCTGGTGCTCACGCCGGGGCAGCCCCCCCCGAGGAACCCCCCCAGGGCCTGGCAGCCACTTGTGGCTGCTGTCACAAGTTGTGGCAGGTCTCAGCGTCCTCCCATTTGCACTTCAAGAAGGGGCACCCCAGGGCTGGGTGAGACAGCGAGGCCGGGCCGGGGCTTGGCCACTCGGGGTGGCTCTGGAGGGGCAGTGACAGAGGGTGATGGCAGCAGGTCTCTCCCCAGCACCTGCCCCCCAGGGCTGCAGCCCCAAGGGGAGAGGGGGTGCTGCCCAGGGCACTTCCCCACAGCTGGCACTGATTCAGCACGGGGTGGGAGGTGACACCCCTCATCCCGTGCCCCCCTTTTAGCCCGCAGCAAAGGAGGGCAAAGGGAAGACAGCGGGAGCCGCAGGCGGTGCGCCTTTACACAATCCTGCTTTATTTTACCCCTTTGTACAAAACCATTTTTCCCCGCTTTATTTTACAAAGCCACCCCCGGCCCTTGGGGAGGGCAGAGGGGAAGAGAGGGGACCCCACAACGGAGGAGCACCCAGCCACTCACCCGTCCCATCTCACCTCCGCCGGGCTGCAGGGGTGGGGAGAACCCTAGCAGGGTGAACGCTCCCCCTGAGCCATGGGGAGCCCAGAGATAGGGCCAGGGGGGGGCTTTAGCCCCACAGTCAGGCATCAAATCCCACTGCCTCCAGCACATCCTGCCTGCAGCTCACAACCTCGGTCCCTGTCCTGCAACGGTTACTGCCACGGAGGAATAATAAATAGGCTCAGTGAGTAGGTAAATTTGGTACTACATATAGGGCTACAGCTTGATATATCCTCACTAGATAAAGAGGAGGGGGGCAAGGGGTCCCCCTGGCTCCTCACGTACCCCCAGCCCCCCTGCGCCAGGCACAAGTGCTCAGGAACTGGGTCTGGGTCTGCCCAGCTGGCACAGGGTGGGCAGGAGGGTGGGGGCTGCAGGAGGGACCCTGGGGGCAGCGGGTCAAGGGGCTCTGGGACAGGGACAAGGGCCCAAGGGGGCAGCCCAGCCCCCCCAGCCATCGGGAGGGAGCTCAGGTGGCTCAGCCACCCCCTGCCAGGGCTCCCACCGCTCATGGTGCCAGCACCCTGCCGGGGTGGGCACCCAGCACAGACTGGAGGTGTCCCCCCCTTCGGTCACCACACCTGGCCAAGCTCCCAGGAATGCCCCCCTGGCTCCGAGCACCCCCTGAGCGAACATCCCCGCACATGGGGAGAGGGGTGTCCCTGCAAAGCCATGCCAGCCTGCCTGTCCCCACCCCTCTAGCTCAGAGCCCCCAGTGCCAGGCGCCACCGGTCCCCGCATAGCCCCCGCCAGTGTCCTTGAGCCCGGGTCCGTGCGCAGCCCAGCTGAGCCCGGCTGCCCGGGGTGCAGACCCAGCGCCGCGCCGGCCCTACAAATACGTGTCCTCGCTCTCCCGGGAGCTCAGGCTCTCCTTGGACTGGTGGTGGGGGGAGACTTGGGGGTGCAGCAGCTCCCGGGCCGAGCCGGGCGCCCCATTACCCTCAGCCCCGGGGCCGTTGGCGGGGCTGGCCGGGCCCTTTTCTCGGCTCTTCTCCTTGCTCTTGCGGGCCTTGGGCACGGGAGCGGGCCCAGGGGGAACAATGATGGAGGGGACAGGCTCCAGCGCTTTGAGGGTGGGGGGCTCGGCCTCGCTGATGGCCTTGGCCCCGTGCAGGCGCGGGGGGGACTTGCACTGCAGTTCCCCATGCGTCTCCCGCCACTTCTTCAGCTGGATCAGGTGCTCCCGCTCGATCTGACGTTCCGTCACTGGCAGCTCGATGACCTGCAGGGACAGACTCATGCCATCAGGGCAGCGTGTGGGACACCCCACAGGGCAGAAACAACCCCAAATCTGAGCATTTTGGGCACTGCCCCCAGTGCCATGCCAGCTCTGCCCAGCCAGGGGCAGCCCAGCCCACCAGTGGAGCCAACTGGGCAGCACTGGTCTCCCAGACTCTTCCCCAGCACCTTACCTCCTGCACCAGGAAGGTCTCCTGCATGATCTTGGGGCTGAGGGCTCTCAGCCTCTCCATGGTCTCGTACTGGCCCTGGCAGGATTTGAGCTTGTCCGAGGAGCCCAGAGTGTGTTTGAGCAGCACAAGGCCCACCCGGAAGATGATCTTCACCCCTGCAAGGGAAGAAGTGAGGCAGCGAGTGCCCAGTGGGACAGGGTGACACTGCCACTATGTCCCTCAGATGCTGTGAGGCACCAGGTCCCAGTCCCACTAGCAGTCAGGACACACACGAGGGTGCATTTGGGATCCATGTCCCCCTAACTCCCAGGAAAGGAGCCCAGTCTCCACCCCAGGCACACGGCTGCCCCAAACCTGCCCTACGATGGGTCCTACAATGGGTCCCATGTGCCAGGCACAGGCGAGCAGCCATGGCAGCACTCCTGCTGCAGCCCCAAGTGCTGTCCACATGCCAAGAGGAGGATGAGGATGGTGGGGAGCTTCTACCTTCACAGAAGAACATGTCCCAGACACGCAGGACGGAGCTCCAGGGCAGCGTGCGGGAGAAGGCGCACATGAACCACTCCGTCATGTAGAGGATGGGATCGATCTTCTGCTTGCTCAGGTGCTTGTAGGCCACGGGCGAGACCTTGTGCAGCAGCGAGAAGAGGATCTGCCCATCCAGCTGAATGGCCTCCTGCAGGGAGGGCATCGAGCCCCAGGGAGCCCCTTAGCACCAGCCCAGCCCTGGGATCAGCTCCCCAGTGCCCAGCCCCAGCCGAGGAGCTAGACCCAGACCCAGGCCTGGCTATGGGAGCAGAGCTGTGCCCATGGACACCAGCAGCAAAGCTACGCTGAGCCCCCCATCCCTGATTGCAGGATGCTCCTGGGGACCACTGCACAACATGGAGACTGTGGGAGCACCCAGGATCTCCCCAAGCTCCCTTTTCTCTCTGGGGTGAGGAGCTGGGGGAGCTTTCGGCCTGGAGACATCTCAGATCCCTGGCACCACCGAAGGCACTGCCAGTCCTTCACTCACCAGCTTCTCGCTGTAGTAGCCAGGGAGGTACTTCTCACAGATCTGCACCAGGCACCAGAACGCTTGCTGCAAGCCAAGGGACAGCGGGTGAGCGCCCAGGTGTCCATGGGGGACGTCCCTGCGGCTCCCCCCGCTCCCAGAGACCTCAGGAATGGGCAGGAGGAGGCAGAGCGTGACTGGGATGAAGGGCACCTCCCTGCACCAGCTGAGCTTTGGGGTGAAGGGGTGCTGTGAGCCAAACACCCTGCTTGCCAGCATCGCCCCGAGGTGACCCACACAGTCCCAGCTCTCTGGTCACCGGGTCTCTGCCCTCCCGGCCGCGTGCTCGTACCTCAGCCGGCATGTGCATGAGCAGGACAGCGGCGATGGGGGCCTGGGCCTGGCAGTAGCCCTCCTCTGGGCGGTACAGCGTGTACGCCTTCAGCACCCGAAACAGGTCCTGCTGCCTGCGGAGACAGCCCGGGGAGGGAGAGGTGAAGAGAGGGCATGGACGTGGCCCAGCAGCACCCCCAAAGGATCCCAGTAAGCATAATCAGCACTGGGCATTGCATGGTGATCCAGCACCACAGGCTGGCCACCAGCCACTACTCTTCCCCCATGAGCCTGGGTCAATCCCTGGCTGGGATCCCTCTTCCACACAAACCCAGGGCTGTAGGACATGATAACCACAGCTCTGCTCTGGGAAGTTCTGCCCACAGAGGCCCCATTCTGCCCAGATCTGAGATGCAAGGCAGGGAGACAACTATCTGCCAGGGATGCTGGCTCAGGGTGAGCTGTGGCCGGGAAGGGACCCAGCTGGAAGCACAGGAACGCAGACGCTCCCTGACACATGGGGAATGGCATTTCCCTAGCGAAACAGAGACCACAGCCAGCTGCCTCCTCCCTCTGCCCTCCTGCCGTGGCAATTCCCACCCTGCTGGGTGTTGGAGCTGGGGCTGAGGGCTATGACCCATGTACTGGGTCTATGACCCTGGGAGAGCCATCCTGTTTTCGACCCATGCCTGGACACCCTGTGAGCCAGGGGGTGTAAAGACTGCAGGGGGACACCGCAGCTCTGTGAAGTGGGATAGACAGTGCCCCACACAGTGCTGGTCCAGCCCAGCAGCTGCTGAGGACTAGACGCACAGTAGCTCCCACTCACCCGTGGCCTCCACGTGAGACAAACATCTCGTGGAATGGAAACTGCCGATGGAGATCCCGCTCGATCACATCCAGCCATTTCGGGTCGCCTGGGAGGAGATCCAGTTCCTGGGGAGGAGAGGGTTGAGGTGAGCAACACCCCACGGCAGCACTGTGCCAGCCCCACTACGGTACATGGTCCCAACCTGGCTCTGCCCCAAACATGAACCCCATCAGGTCAGAGGTCAGCCCACTCTGGCTGGGATGCCAGTAGCCCCCCTGCCCCACGCCCAGCAGGAACAAGCAGCATCTGGGATCCCAACAGACACCCCAGCCCTGGAGGGAGCAGCAGCCATCCCAGCACTGCCCCTTCCACCAGCACACCCTCTCCAGCAGTGCAGGAAGGTCCCTGGCAGCACTCACATCAAACTTGCCAATGTTCTGCTCCAACTTGACCTTGCTCCCGGAGAGGTACTGCCAGGCACGGCCCCGCAGTGAGGGCGGGATCCCCTTCTGGCACCGCAGCCGGATCTGTGGGGAAGAGACACAGCAGTCATGAGAAAAATCAGGGAGCAGTGGGGAGCAGAGAGGCCCCTGGGGCAAGACAGGAGCCAGGCCTAGCACTGCAGCTGCAGGCTGGTCCCCTGCTGCCTCGCTGTGCAAGGGGATGTGTCCCCACAGCCCTGGGGACAGGGTGCCCAGCCACGTGTCTCAGGACAGCCCCTGGCATTGTACAGACCAATGGAGACCTGCAGTCAGAGATCCTGCTCACCCCCTTCTCCCCAGCACCGCACTAACACGCCAGCTCGGATGGCAGCCGGTGCTGCACCAGCACGAGGGAGCTGCAACGGCTGCCAGGAGCCTGGCCGAGGCTTTGTGGCTTGTAAACAGCTCCAAACAAGCCCAGCTCTGCCTGAAAGCAGGATCCTGCTGGGAACTGGAAAATCAAATGCTGGAGCTAAGGTGGGGAACAGGTGGCTCCCTCCTCACCCCAGCATGGTCCATGGGAAGCACTGGGGAGGGCTCTGCACCCCCAGCCCAGCCCTCCTGCTCACCCACGGGGCCATGGAGAGCAGGAAGATGCACCCTGTCAAACACCTCAGCCTTTCTGCCTGTTTGCCCTGGGCAGGCCTGGGCCCAGCTCCACGCATGGCTGGCTCCCAAGGCCAGCTCCATGCCCAGTTGGCCCCTGGTTTCCTTGGCACAGGCCACCAGCCAGGACCAAAGTCCAGTCGAGGCAGTGTTGGTACCTACCCCACGGTGGGAAGTCAAGCCAGCTTAACCCTGCCACTGCCAGCACCCCAGCAGGGACTAAAACCACACATTCCACTCCAACTCTGAAGGAAGCAGCAGCACCATCTCTTCACGGTTCTTGGCCAGGACGTGCAGCAAGATGGGGCCCACGAGACCAGTGCTTTCAGCACAGTTACCCAGCATAAAGCCCTGAGTGGGGACTTAGGTGGCACATGCCAAGTGCCAGAGACATGCCAGGGCTCTGTGAGCCACAGCCAACAGCTCCTGAAGCCTCTCCTGCCTACCTAGAGCTCCTTTTCCCCATTTGCTGGTGTGGCTCAGGAGCAGGCGGCTGTGCTTCCAAGCAGCCCAGCATGGTGGTAATGCCCCATCCCCGGGAGGGTTTGCTGCTCCCTTGCTGCAGTGCTGCTTGTTTACCCAGGCAGTCCTGAGCCCCACAGCGACTTTGTGCTTGCAGGAAATGGAGCGGGCGATGCCCAGGGCGGCTGCGGGCAGCTCTGCCACTGCGGACGGCTCCCGTTTTGAGCCGGCTCCCCTTCCTGCTGGCTAAACTGCCAGGAAGGAAGCTGCTTTGCTGGGTTCAGCAGCCCCTCCAGCTGGCCAGGCTCAAGGCAGCCAGGGCCAAGCAGCTGAGCATCTCATTCCCTTGGCTCCATACCCGGTCCTGCCACTGCCCCTGCACTGGGGGTATCCAGCCCCCAGGATCACCCTGCGCCCTTCCAGGGGACCAGGAGCACATCTGGGCTGAGGAGTGCTGCCCATCCCCAGAGCGTGGTGGGAGCTCCCCACGCATCTGCCCTCCTTCAGTCTGAGTGGAAAGGGCAAGGACTGGCGCACAGCACTGGCACAGCTCAGCACCACGAAGGACGCGGGGTCACAGCTCTGCTGGGATCCGGGCCAGGCAGGCGAGGAGGAAGCATTTTGGGATGCTGTAGTGATGCAGGTGTGAGTGAGCCCGGCAGGAGCTGGCCCAAGAGATCCCCGGGACATCAGCCAACCCCAGTGAGGCAGCCAGAAAAGTACCGGGGTTTTTCAGAGGCACAGGGAGCTCCTCCAAAGGAGCAGGGCCCAAGCCACGTGGCATGGCCCTGTACCAAAGCAGCCAGGCTCCTGCTGGATGGTCGACAGCATCCAAGGCCAGGCCTGGCACCCTTCCCCAAGCAGCCCCAGGGCTCCAGGCATGGAGCAGCTCTCCAGAGCAGACCTCAGAGGCTCTGGGCATGGATTTTTGCTGCAGGACAGACTATACAGCACATCAGCCCCACAGAGACCCCCAGGAGCTCAGCCCAAGCACAAGGGAGCTCCTCTGCCAGACATGCAGCTGCCAGAGCATTCACCCGAGCCCGGAGACCACGCTGTGGCACGGCCGGGGAGCAGCGGAAACTGCCTGCAGAACAAAGCGCCCGCCTGCCATGTCCCAAAAAGCTCTCCCAGATCCTTTGTGAGTGGCCAAGAAACAGATGAGGGATTCCCGCGTCGTTCACCAGGCATCGAGTGGGGACGGCGCTCTGGGAGCACAGCACACAGAGTGGTGCCAGGAGGCTCTGCCAGTAACAAGGAGGAGGAGGAGGGAGGAGGAGGAGGCCCTTTGGCCACTCTCAGGCACCGCTGGCCCATGCCAGCATCCTCACCGCTTCCAGCAGACACACAGCAGCATCCCAGGACTTGCTGCATCCCATCCCTGCCTTGTTCACAGGCTCAAGAGGTCGGGGAGTACCAACAGACCGAGCCACAAAGCCACCCAGAACACACCACCACGAGCCTCCTGGGGACCCCGGCTTGCAGACCGGCGTCACACACATCAGGCTCAAACATTTCCTACTCAGAGCTTTTTTTGGTCTACAAGATGCTCAGAACAGAAGTTTCCATGACCGAACAATTCCCATGGCTGCCTGCAGGCAGCCAAAGAAGCCCTAGGAAGGCTCCAGCTCAGTGGGGAGCAGATGGGGGCAGGAGCAGGCCGGCTCCGGACCACAGGCTCAGCCCTCCCAGGCTCCAGCTTCCCTCCCACCATGATAAACGTCACGGGGAGGGAACAGCCCAGTCAAGACAACAGCATCAACCAAAGGCAACCAAGTCTGTCTGGGGGGACATAGTGACACACAGGCTGCCCCAAAGCCTCAAGGGGACATGGCTGCACCCGGCTGTTCCTCCCTGCTGCCTCCTCTCGCCTGCACAGCTGTCCGGGGGCAGCCCCAGGGGACAAGACTGTCACTTACCTTCTTGTGTTTTTTGGCCATCCACTTGTCCCAGTTGTTGAGCATATCCAGCCATTTGGACTCCCGCTGGCGCAGCACCTCCAAGGGCACCTCCTCCAGCCTGCGGGATGGGAAGAAGAGGCTGGTCAGTGTAGTGCCGAGCTCTCCCTGCAGCGCAGAGCCCCCTCCCTGTCCTCTCCAGCACCCTGGGTGCCCCCCACAGCCCCCTCTGCAGGTGCAGAGCCCGGCTGGGACACGCTTGAGAGTGCCGGTGTTTCAGCAGCTGCTCGGCGCTGCCGGAAGCGCTCACCACCCATGAAATCACCACACCAGCACAGCCCCAACTCCCCACAAGTTCAAAATCTCTCAGGAGCAGCCTGCACTGCACACACCATGTGTCTGAGCATCCCTGGGGACCTGTGCCCAGAGAGAAGGGCACACCAGGAAGGTGAGGAACTGGGGAGCGCAGCCAGAGCCATTAGCTGAGCTGAGCAAGGTCTGGTTCCCCCCGCAGAGGCTGACTGCAGACGGAGAAAGCCGGGGCCATAAGCATCATGTCATCTGCACGGCCCCAGCCATGCTTGCGCCCTGAAAGCTTGGAACTGCTCCAGGCCTGGCACCGAGCCCAGGCCGAGGGTCCCCCAGGAGGGAGGGAGGGGAATGTTTTCCAGCAACGGCCCAGCCTAGCCGGGGAATCCGATTTAACCCTACTGAGGCAGGCAGGGATGCTGCCACGACATCAAAGCTGGCAAGGGGGAAGCCATCACTGTGGCCTTGAACACCCCCCGCTATGCACCCTCTGCAAGGTGACAGGGGACAAACAGCTCAGCCAGGCCCTGGGCACGGACATCCCAGGGAGAGCAGAAGCTCCTTCAAGCCACCACTGAAGAAGGGCCAGCTTCAGCCAGACTCAATGCCTTCCTGGGTTCGGCTCCACACTGCCCTGTGGCCATGCCAATCTCAGGAGGGGCCGGATTCTTTTTGAGGCCCCGAGCATCTTCCAGGGAGGTGCAAGCACCCAGCCCTACTTCAGCACACACAGGCCCTGCCTCATCCTGGACCTCTCTGCATTAGGAGCCAGAAAGTGAGCGGCATGAAGAGCCCAGGGCCACATCCAGCTGGCAGCACTGCCCTGCTCCCTGCCCAGCCCTTCCCTGCCGGGTCCCACCCACCGCAGCAGGTCAGATGGGGCCAAGCAGGATTGTTTCAGAGAGCAAACCCGCTCTGAAGGGATCCACGTTGCTCAGGGCAGCCACCCCACCCTCCTCAGCACGGGCTGGGCATGGCCAGCAGCTCCCTGGCCAGCAGCGCAGGCCGGCACGGGGATGGAGAGTGCACTGGCCCCGAGCCGGGGAGCCTGGGCTGCCGGAGGAGCTGGGGCTCTCTGAGGCGTGGGAAGCTCGGGAGCGCTGGACGCTGGATACAAGAGCTGGCTGCGGGCCTGCTGGAGCCTGGCCAGCCCAGACTGGAAGCTGTTACCAGCTGATGGCTGCTTGGCAGCGGGCACAGAGCAAGGACTGGAGACATTTCAGATGGCCAAGAAGGGGAGGATGGGGTGGCAGCACCCCAAGAGGGAGGTGGTGAGATACCCTATGCAGGGAAGGCAATCCTTCACACCCAGTGTGGGTGACAACCCCACAGCTCAGCCCTTCACAGTACCCCCAAACCCTCCACAGATGCTGGGACACTATTTGCCCTCCCTGCACTTCCCCAAAACCCTTCCAGCTAGAGGGACACCAGCCATGGAGGCAGGCAATGCACTCCTGTTTATCCACTCCCAGGCAGACAAAGAACAGATAAAAGCCTCGAAGAAGGGCAGGATTTAGCCCCAGCATATCTGCAGGCACGGGAGGAAGGCTCTGACCCCAGCAACTGCAGCCACCACACTGCTGGCACCCCCAGGAGCAGCCACTCGCCTCCAGCACCCTGAGCTTTGGGCAGGGGAGCTGCTGCCTGCTGAACCCCAGGGACAGGGACGTCCACCCCAAGCACCCAGGGACAGGCAGCCAGGACAGCCAAAATGTCCCCAAAATGCAGTGTGTGGCCGGGACGGGTGCAGCACCCTGGGCAGGAGAGGCCAGCACGCTCCTACGGTGCTGTGAGCCCAGAGGGCAGGGACGAGGTTTATCACCCAGAGAGATGCACCTTGCCCAGGACCAGCAGCCAAACCTCTGCTGCCTCCTCTCCCCGCACACCGGCCAAGTGACATCCACAGGCTTATGAGAGGCGGACGCTTTGCTCCTCGTAGGTGGGGAAACCGAGGCACGGGGTCCAACTGACACCAGAGCACGCAGGTAGGCAAACCTCAGGGGAGCGATGTCCCATCTGGAGAGGAGGGGCTGCCACGCGCCGTCCCGCTGCAAGCCCCCGTTTCTCCGGGCGTTCCCGCAAAGCCACGGCCAGGAAGGCAAACACCAGCCACGCTGCCGAACCAGCTCGGAGCACATTCCTGGGTGCTGGCACCGCCCCGGGGCCCTGTCACGGGCTGATTTTTTCGGCTGCCCCGCTTCCTCCGAGGGCTTCCTCCGCAGATGGAGGCCGGCCAGCGCCTCCTTGCCACGGCGCCTTGGCCGGTGGTTACCGATACCGGTTTCCGCGGCAGGATGCCGAACAACGGCCCGGCCTCCCCCATTTGACGGCGGCCAAAAATACGCCGGAATCCAGCGCTTGGAGCAGAAGAGGCCTGGAGGTAACCAGACACTGACCTCGGCGAGGAGGCCTCGGCGCTGCTGGCAGCTCCCT